GCACCGAATCATGTAAAATATATAAATAGATATATATTTCTCAAACAGTTCTCAACAAGATAATTCATCAAAATTTGGTGCTTTATCAGGAAAGAGGCAAGCAAAATTACTAAACGATACCGAAACGTTTGCCATTGTTTGTTTGCGTTCTTTGGCTCGTTCTCTGATGATATTCATTGAATTATTTTGCGAAATTCTAACTAAATAGAGAAGCGAAGGGTATTCTGGACCACATAAGGAAACATTTCTGTAGAAAACACGGAAATCAGAATTTGTTTCCAGTTTTAATGGTAAATCTAAGATTTATTATAGGTTTCAAAATGAAGTGTCATTGGAATTAAATTAACCAATTTCACCTAAACTACCACTGCTACACCAACTTTACATTTAATTCTTGTACAAAAATAGATCTTTCATCTTAAATTTTTCAACATATTACAATTATGCAGATAAGTATTACAGCAGTAATTTATGTATTTCAATTAGAATTTATAACACTAATTGCCATTTTTTAAAAAGGCGTTCATGCTGAAAACTAATCAATTCCGAATATATTCTACTCATGTATGGATTTTCACAATCTGACAATCCATATTATGATTCCAGAAAATTATAAAAATTATAAAAAATTATAAAATTATTAGCACCAATAGCTGACACCTCGAAAATGCAAATAAGCCACAATACTCGCTAGTGCAATATTTTAATTTTGTAAAAAAATCCACAATTAAATGCCATTTGTTTCTTTGTGTTTACCTATGTATGTATGCATGTATCTCAACAAATAATGTAATCGTTGGTGTTGACCTCGTTTGGCGGATTATAAATATGATCGTTGTTGACCTGTCATGCATGATTGTCGGTTGCTGTCCAAGGTCAAAGTCTCTAATACCAATCTATGTTTTGGAGACTAACTCAAAATTTGCTAATTAGTTTACCCCACAGCCCCACATGGAAAACGTGAAAACACCTCACATCAGTTAGATGCATAAACAAATTTAAATTAAATTAATCAAAAATCTCTTTTGCAGGATGTTGTACTCCGCTAAGGCACCTTTCGGAGTGGAACCCGTACCACCCCCATGTTTTCCTACTATCGCATTTATCTTTAGCCTTGACCCTAGTATAGCCGCTAGTGGAAACCTGCTCCGTCCGGAATAGAAGGAAATATCATGAAACTGAATAGTTAAAAGTATATAAAACAAGTAAGAAAGTCCAAGTTAGGGCGGAGCCGAGCATTAAATACCCGGCGCAAGTATTAAATATATGTTTTTTTCACCTTTCCGAAACCTACCGCTAGATGCTACGCCGGGGTGTATCAATTTTGAGTAAATTAGCGTCCTTAAATTTCGAAATATTGCAGTTTCAAGCATTTCTGAAATTTACCGTTATATGAAAAGCGGCCGTAATTTTAGTCCGATTTCAATAATTTTCAACGTTTTGCTTTTATGTGGCAAGCACAATAAAAATACTGAGTTTGGTACAAATTGGTAGAACGGTTACCGATATACATATATGTGATCATAAGTGGGCGGTGCCACGCTCATTTGCCAAAATTTTACCATAAACGTATTTCCTGGTAAAGAATTGTTGCAAGCATCAATTTTGAATAAATTAGCTTTAATATTTACTGATTTATCGAAGATTTTGTATTTTTCTAAATTACCGTTATATGGGATGTGGGCGTGGTTATTGTCCGATTTTTTAAATTTAAATGCTGTGCCGAGGCCAACAACTGTGCCAAGTTTGGAAGAAAATGGTGCAGCGGTTACCAAGATATACACATGTAACCATAAGTGGGCGTGGCTACGCCCATTTTCCAAAAATTTATAATATTCTTATTTTTCGTCTGAAAATTATTGTAAATATCAATTTTGAGTGAATTATCTTCAGTAGTTACTAAAATATCGCAGTTTTCGTATTTCTGGAAATTACCGTTATATGGGAAGTGGGCGTGGTTACAGTCCGATTTCGCCCATTTTCAATACCAACCTCCCTTGGATTAATGGAAACCTACATACTAAATTTCGTTGAGATATCTAAATTTTTACTCGAGTTATCGTGTACACGGACGGACGGACAGACG